GAGAGAGAGAGAGAGAGAGAGAGAGAGAGAGAAGAGAGAGAGAGAGAGAGAGACAGACAGAGAGACAGACAGAGAGAGACAGAGAGACAGAGAGAGACAGAGAGACAGAGAGAGACAGAGAGACGGAGAGACAGAGAGACAGAGAGAGAGTAAGTTTCATTTATAAAGACAGGTAAGTCTAACAAATGAGGACTGAGACCTCTACAACAGGGTTTTTACGCCTGAAAGCAGGTGCATGATTTAACAAGCAGGTTGTCAGTCTAGATTTTATGCGCAAAAGGAGAAAAAATGCGCAATTTTTTGTAATGAGATGAAAAGCAGAAATAATAAGAAAATATGAAATGAAAGCCTGCTCACAACTCCGTCCAGCCTTGCGAACTGAGTATGGTGGATTAGGAACCCCGTTTCAATGCTTGAGCAAGCGTTCTCCACTCGAGGTGCCACCCGTTTTCTCGGCATTGATCGGCCAGATCCGCAAACCGCCTGTCCTTCCGCGAGTCACTGACACTGAATCTGTCCTCAGCATTAAACTGTCAACTCCATCCAGAATACAATCCTACGACTCGTAGAGTACAGAATTATATCTGGTCTTAGGGTGGTAAGTGCAACACAGCTGGGGAAAGAAATCTTTGCACTAACTGAGTCAAGAAGACATTTCCAGTCTGAGGCCGCTGACAGGAGATCAGTCATAACCAACTTTCGTCTGGGCGTAACGCGAAATGGCTTCTCTCCCGCCTTGCAAAACGAGATGAAGTCAAGCTCATTTGAATTTTCGGTTTGTACAGTGTTTGCAGCAGTGCGGATTCGAATCTCCTCCCGCATGTTCCTGACGATGACCCCGAGTACGTTGTCCAGGGGACACGATAACGGTCGGACATCGGACATTTTCCGACCATTTTCGATTCGAATCCGGCGCTTTTTCTTGAACGGACAATCTGTCCGATCGAAATTCACAAAAATAGCGTCGCTGGGAAAGAGAACGGCTGAGGACCATGGCGCTCTGCCTGGGAAGAAGTCTCACGAAGTCGGAGCAGCAACCTGTGACAAGAGGGTTTCACAGCAAGACAGGGAGCTGTCCACTTCAGTGTAGCTCCAGTCTGAGCATAGCAAACGATCGAGGAGTTTTGAAATGAAATTTCTTTGCTTTTTTGCTACAATAGGAACTATTACGCGAGGCGCTTGTACAATCCGAAAGATTTAAAACGTCCCTGTTCCAGGGACACAAGGCGTCAGAAATGTGTGCCAGCTTGCGATATGCCTCTATCAAAAGGAGCAGTCTTCTGTAAATCCAGTCAATTACGCTCCTGTTGCACAGGCGCTGTGCAAAATCGACGGAGCAGCAGCAGCGAAGGTTAGTCAGAAATTCAACGTCGCGTAGAAACTACATGCTGTTCAAAGAGCACATCACGTTTGCAAAGTTGGGAGCCTTCAACCAACTCGAGTAGTGACATGTTGTCGATCTTCGAGCTGACAACAAGAAGTTAGAATGGGCAAGCAGGTGCCCACTTTGTCTTTTGTCAACTGTGTAAAAATGAATGTCTTTGATCTGCCGCTGAAAAACCAGGTCAAATCCGAAATGTGCAGAAACACTGCACGCTCATGTCATTATCACAGTTGCTATGTTTGCTGAATAACGCACAGCGATTTGAATCAGTGTTACACTACTTGAGATCTGTGTGATGATCATCCTTGATGTGACCAGCAATACCGCAGTGTGATGTAGCATGATTGTACATGCATGTGTGCATTATGCAGTGGTGTCATGTGTGAAATTGGTGAAGACAATAATAATTATTATTTTTTATTATGAGTACCAGACTTGTAAAAAAATCACAGTGTCCGGCCATGTCCGACCGGTTCCAGAAGTTGCAGGACATTGTGTCAGAGCAATTTCGAAATATTATCGTGTCCCCTGGTTGTCGTGCCTCCAGGTGTAACGTCCCTGGTCCAGCGCTATGCGACAAGCGACAAGCACGTGGCGCGTAGTACAGGCCCAGGCACGGCACAAACTACACTACGGATACACTACGGTGTTTCTCCAACGGTGTAGGTTCATCGGATAAGGTACCACGACGAGGGTTGATGCGAGAGAAAATTTCAAATCCTTACCAGTACCACCATACAAAAGGGATTTCCATGAGAGGTCCTGCCACATCACCGATGTCCACTCCAACCACTTGCCTTGCACCTGAAGAGTCTGCAGCCTCAAAATCTGCTCCTGCACGTTGATCTTCTCAAATGTTTGAAGGAGATCCTTCCTCAGGGGTTTGGAATGCTGCTTCGGAGCACGAGCACCCAACGCTGCACGATGACTTGAAGATGACGGTGGACTGAGAGTCCCTGAACCTACTGACGCCTCTGCACACTCCAGCTCTATTGTCGCCGCATATCGCTTTGTCAGCTTCGCATCCTTACTCCGACGCAGAGTGTACAGCGCCCTCATGCGCGCGGCCCCACTCGATCGAAGAATGTGCAATTTGACGGACTGGCACTTTTTCCACACAGTAGGAAGGTAGTGGAGGCGTAAGCCAAAGCGTTTGCGACTGCCAATAAAAAGAATGGCAGAGTTTGCGCATCGAGGCAGGCCTGACCATTTCTTCAGAAATGGTCAACACATAAAGTGAGTTCAAGAACCTGGAA